AGACCAAAATTGAACACACTGAAGTAGGGTCTTTGACCACTGTTGGTTAACTGATGCTGTATTGTGATTAAAGCAAAGCAGATAAGGAGCAGACTGTTTGATTAAGAGAGCACTAAGATCTCTCTACTAGTCTAAAATAAATATGGTGAGTAGGTGGGGATTATTAGTAGTAAATACAGTTAGTAGTAACAATTGAGGGTTAGACCTTTCATTCTTTTAAAGTAAGAAATACCTATGAATACCCATTAATGTTCTTCATTCATATGAATAATTCTTGGCAGGAGAACTACAAGGGTGGCCGAACTCCAGGAAAAAAAAATCAAGTTCAGACAAGGGTCAAAGAAGAGTTTCAAAAAACTTTAGGCCCTAAATAAACCTCATATATTGTGCTTCTAAAGCTAAAAGTGTGCTGATTCAGCAAGATATGAAAGTGTTCCACAAAAGGAACAGCACTGAGCTGGAAATTTATTTTATTTGTTTCAATGCCAAGTTCAAGGCAAAGTTTTCACAAGATCGTTTACAATAAAAATTAGTTTGGAAAAGTTACTTCTCAAAGACTTTTCTCAGCTTTTTCTAAGCTCTATTTTTTAAAAAAGTTAAAAACAAAACATTTGAAAATGACACGATCACTTAACATAGGGAGCACTGTTTATCACTGTCATGCTGCAACTACAGACACACTGGCTGAATTAAATAATAATTGATTAAGTGATTCATAAACACATGAATTAATTAATTAACCATTTCCATCAATCTCAGTAGGTGAAAAGCTACTGTGGTTGGTCATGTTAAAACTGAAACATTAAGGAGGGTGTTTTGGTTTCGAGCAGACAACCAAGCTGCACGCTTTCCTTCTCTCAAAAAACTTCATGACCAAGGGTGTTACCTTCAGTTTCTTAATACTAGCTTAGATATAGCATGTTGGGATCAGTTTGCTTCCTGATATTCCAATGTACACAAATTTGTTTCAGGCACATAATTATTAAAATATTATGTAAAATTACCTTTGGGCTATGTGTTTAATTGTATACAAAACTTAAATGAGCTTGCTATTTAGTTCTACTGCCAAGATAAGTCATAATGCTTTGCAAATACCCCAAAAACTGAATCACTATTGGTTCCATGCATTTTATAAGGGATACTCATCCTGTATTGTGTATTTACAGTTCCAGTGGCAAACTGTCCTTGAAATTTGACATTCATAGGCAACTTAGGGGTTAACCAAATAGATGTGTATGTATGCATACCTATAAACTTTATATCTTAATTGTGAGGCCTGTCATATATCTTTTTACTGTAAACCCAATTATATCCATCTATCCACCCCAAGTGACACATATCTCAAAAGTAAACAAAAACAGCAATCTAAAACAAACATCATCAAACAAATTTCCTTGTTCCAGAGTCTGTCCATCTATTGTGGTTTAAGTCAGTCTTTTATAGATAGACTGCAGCCTGCCCCAGCTCCAGATGGCTTACATTTTAATGCTTACAGACACAAAGGTCATGAAGCACTTCAATTCTTATAAACCGCTTAAGGTTAACAAGATGACAACGCTGTTCTGTCCCAAAAGAGAAGTTGCCCCCTAACACCGGGGCACTGTTCTATCCTGTATCTTTATTTCTAGAAGTAGGCTTTTTTGTGCACCAGCTTGTCAAAAAAAGCAAATTTTTGAGCCATTCAAAATCTGATAATTCCACAAGTGATTGTAATAGACTCTACTTTGTGTGTTGGAGGTAAGAATAGTTAGGACTCAATACAAGTAAGCAGATCTACCAATCTTTCATAAGAATTATACTAATAGTCACCCAAGGAAGTCAACAGAACTGGGTAGAGTAAGTGCTGACAACCAGCCTTTATGACTGCTGACAACCAGCCTTTATAGAACTTGAGAGCCACATATGAATGTGGCCCTTGAGCTCTGTAAAGGCTAGTTGTGAGCTGTTATGTCCACCCAGGAGTAATACTAGGTAAGCACCTATTTTTGTTTTCATCCCTGGAGAACAACTTACAGTCAGAAGTGACAGTACTAAACAAAACAGGTGAATGGTCTGATAGTATCATTATTATTGCAATACAGCAACAACAGCATGTTTGTAATATTTATTTATATCCCACTTTACTCTCATAAATGAGGCTCAAAATGGCTCATGGCATAAAAATGCAAGTTACAATTTAAAACCTACAACATATAAACATTAAAGTACAATTCATAATAGAATTGTTAAAATAAATAATTGAAATCACATAAAACTATCAAAAACTCTTTTAAAAATCACAACACAACACTACCTGACTCTTCCTATATTCCTAATTCCTGTTTGACTAATCAATCAGTGAAACTATCAATGTAATATACTTACCCAACCAAATAAAAGTACACAACAAATTTATGATCAAATGTGACATGACCATCTAACTTGCTACACAAGGGCTGAGAAAAATGCAGTCCTTTTAGATACTGTTGGATTAAAACCCCCACATATGGCCATGATAGACAAGGGTAATGAGGGTTGTGAACAAATTCTTTTTGGAAAGTTGGAGAGAATGTGCTTTTGGAGTGAGAGTTCTCCATATAAGACATAATAAATCAATCCTGGTGCAAACCAACCCTGTATTCTCACTAGAAACTAAAATGACTACATGAAGGCTATTACACTTTGAAGTAATCATGAAATGGTGTGATCTACTGGAATGTGTGATATTACCCAGTAATGAAGAAAGCAGTAAAACAAGAGAAAGCAATATTACAAATTATCTGTCACAATAAAGGGGAAAAAACTAAAAATACCACAAACTAAAATGCACAAAACACATCATGCAAGCTTTCAAAGACTCACTGACTCCTTCACCAGGCCAAAAAAAAAAACTGTTTAAAATCATGCAGAAGAAAAGTGATGATGTTAGAATCACAGATTTACATTTTGTATGTTGCTTCTGTTGTGGGAAGATCTCAATGTATAGTAAATGTCAAGAATTGTGTGAGATACATGCTAACATTTCTGGAGGGCTCTAATTTGTCTATACAGTATGCACTACTACATTGATGAGACAGCCTTGCTAAGACACTAAGACTCTTGGCCCTTTCTCTTCACTGGTAGATGAAATCAGGGTGGCATTTACAACTATTTCAAGGGTGGCAACCATGATGCTCCAGATGTCACAAGACTTCAGTGTAACCAAGGCTGAAGAAGTATGAGAATTGCAATTCAGTTACACCTGAAAGGTCACAAATTGAACGCAGGATTGTCAATGTTACCATCTGGCTTCTATCAGTGCTCCTGTGTCTTCATTGTGAGCTGTATTTTGCTTTCCCACCAGCTCTGAATAAAGCTGCACCTGTTGTATAATGTCTGATAATTGTGCACTTATTAGAGATGTAATTTCCCAGTTAATTCATTCTGACATGGAAAGACATTGCTTTCTTGCAAATATTTTTACACAGCAGTCTTCTAGTATTCAAGCATCCCAAAATATTCTGGAGAATTTTTTTTCATAGAAAAGCATATTTCTGTGCAGAAAATGCTGTGTTTTTTTGTTTTGAATGGAATATGGTATGTGGGTTTTCGAGGAGGCAGTCACAACAAAATTCTGGGGTTTTTAGATTAGGGAGGAGCCTTTAAACTGCTCATCCAGAAAAGCCCTGGGCACCCCTAAACTACAAGCCCCAGAATTCTGCAGTCACAGCATTTAAAGTGGGAAAATGCTCAAGTGTGATAAGGCCCTTAGTCCAACCTCCTACCATGCAGGAAAAGCACAAGGTACTCCTGACAGATATTCTTTCCTGTAATTTGAGCCTATTGTTCTGAATCCTAGTCTCCAGGGAAGCAGAAAACAAACTTGCCCACCCCCCTCTATGACACCCTTTCACATATTTATACATGGCAATATTATCTCCTCTCAACCTTTTCTTCTGCAGGCTAAACATCCCCAGCTCTTTAAGCCACTCTTCATAGGGCCTGGTCTCCAAACCTTTGATCATTTTAGTTTCCCTCCTCTGGACACCTTCCAGCTTGTCAATATCCCTCTTGAATTGAGGTGCCCAGAACTGGACACAGTATTGGTTGTGGCTGGGATGCTCAATGTGGTTGTACTGTCCATTTTAATAGTAGTTATTGCTGCATTTTTATTGAGTATTTTATTTAAATTGAGTTGGGCTTTTATCTTTTGTAAATGCTGTTTTATGCTAATTGATATTGTTGTTGTTATAAATGTTTATGTATTTTATTTGTATGTTATGTGTTTTATGCCACTATCAGCTGGGAGATGGTGATGGAATATAAATAAAACTATTATTATAATTATCATGATTATTCCAGGAGAGGTCTGACCAAAGAAGCACCATGACTTCTCTTGATCTAGACCAGTGGTTCCCAAACTGTGGTCCGCTTGCTGAGGTGTTCCAGTGAATGTCTCTGTAGATCTTAGAAAACGATTTCATGATTTCAGTTGTTGGTGTGCTGGCTGATACCTAAACAGGGGGTGGGCTGGAGATGTCACTGCCTTGGTCCTTTCACTATTGGTTGCTACTCCCACAGGTTAAGAACCACTGATCTAGACTTTATTGTGACTAGGAAAGGAGGAGATATACTTCCCATCCATCGAGCTTGTGTATTTATGTGTGAGCTTGGAAGAGCAAACAAATGGGCATGGGGGCTGGCTTGGGATGCCTTTTGAAATTGCCCACAGCAGTTTGGTTTGTACAAGGAAGCCTGAAGCTGGATCAGTCTGGACAGCAATGGCCGTAATACCCAACAGGTCCCAAGCAATCCCTTCAGGGGCCTGGGCGCTTCTATAAAAGCAGCAGCTTCTTCCTCGCTCTGGTCGGCCCCCTCCCTTGAAATGAGCTCCCCCAGTGGCTCCAGGCCTTCCTTCCCTCCCTGCCTCCCGCCAAAGGGAGCGGAGGGAGGGGGATTCCAGCAGCAGCAGCCGCCGCCGGCCAAAGCGGGCCTCCCTGAGGAGGAGCCAACGGGGAGACGGAGAAAGGGGGGGGGGGGGTTCCAAGCCAGCCAGTCCTCTCCTCTCACAGACACACACAGAGAGAAAGAGAGGCAGGACCCGGAGAGGCGGCTGCTTCCCTCCAATGGGCCCAGCCCAGCTTCTGCGGCGGGATGCGGGACGGCTCTCCCCTCTGAGCAACTCAGCATGAAGTGAGGAGCGTCACCTCCTGACTGGAAAGGAAAACCCACGCTCCGCCGTGTCTTTGTTCCTCCTCCCAGGCTTCTTCTGAGCCCTTTGCGGACTCTTCGCCTGCCTGCCTTCCTTGGCTGGCTCGCCTCCTCCCCAGTCTCTCCTGCGGGGAAAGTGGAAGAAACTCTCGAGCCGCTCTGTGTCCCCATTGTTTCCCGAGAGAGGATTTATTCTCCTTGCAGCCGCTTTGAACGACGACGGCAGGTGGGTGAACAGGAAAGCGTGCGAGGCCCCTTGGCTGGAGGAAGAGCCCCAAGGGATGAACCTTGGGGGTACTGTGAGCTGTTACATTTTGAGGGGGGACAGCCTGCACTTCTGCCAGTGGCTTTTGGGGCACTTTCTCCCTCTTCCCTGCCCCCAAGGGTGCATCTACACCAGGGCTTTGCAAACTTTTCCTGTACAGGCATTCATCTTGGTAGACATGCATCATTTTGCAACACGGTCATTCAGTGTTAGTAGCAAAGCGGGGGTTAAGCCAGGCATGGGCCAACTTGGGCCCTCCGGGTGTTTTGGACTTCAACTCCCACCAATTCCTAACAGCCTAAGGCCCCTTCCTGAGGCCCCTTCCCGCTTAAGCGGCTGAGGGGAAAAAGGAAAGGGCCTGAGGCTGTTAGGAATGGTGGGAGTTGAAGTCCAAAACACCCGGAGGACCCAAGTTGGCCCACGCCTGGCTTAAACCAATCCTTCATAAAATATACCGACACATACAGAAATCATATTCTCAAAAATGGAACACAGGTATTGAAATATATGTTTTATTGCTTATTCATAGTCTCAGGTTATGTTTGCGTGACACACCTACGCGCTGCAGCCAATAAAGTGTCGCGACACACTGTTCAGAAAGCTCTGATCTACACTCTGTAGAGTGAATGCATTTTGGCACCACCTGCTTAGTGTTGTGGATTCCTGGGAGTTGTCGTTCTACGGTCTGTAGCCCTCTCAAACAAAAAGCATAACTCCCAGGATTTCATGACATCGAGCCATCGTTTCAGACGACATTGTGGTCTCAAACAGCATTCATATGGCAATGTAGATGTGCACTGCAGGGGTGGGGATAGGGGATAGGAATGCAGGAATCTATAGGAATGCAAGGTGCCCACCCAAAATGTGTACTATCTTTACTAGCTCATAATACCCATGGTGATTCTCTGAATGGATTTACGTTGAAGAAGGAATATTATTATAATGATTTCATCAATTATGAACTCCAGTTTAAATGACAACTTTATATAAGGTGTTGGAATGGTTTTCCTTGTGGAACAATTAATGCACTGCTTGCATAGTCGAAGCACAGAGTTACAAATCTGACTTCCAAGTTTTTTCTTGTAACTGACACTGCTCTGCTATCGGCCTCTTTAACTCAGTGAAGGGTGCATACATTTTTTTTAAAAAAATCATGTTTTTATGTATGTGTGTGTGTGTGTGTGTGTGTGTGTATATATATATATATATATATATATATATATATATATAACATCTTATATGGAGTTATAAGATGTTATGGGAGCATCTATTATTTTGGGACAACTTATATTGACAGGTGGGCAGCAGAGGCAGCTGTGATGCTCCCTGGCTGGTGGGAAGGCATCTACATTGTAGAATTAATGCAGTTTGACATCACTTTAACTGCTTTGGCTTGATCCTAACATGATCTTTAGACTTTTCTGCCCAAGGGAGCTGGGGCTCTACCAAACTACAACTATCAGGATTCCATAGCATTGAGCCATGATAGTGAAAGTGGGGTCAAACTGCATTAATTCTACAGTATAGATGCACTCCCCCCAAGCTGTCCTCACTCTGGGAGACTTCAGGTGTTATTTGCTTGATGCCATACTTCAGCAGCAAGGCACTAGTCATTCCTTAGAGACTTACAGGAAGCTCCGGGGCTTTATCAGCTTGGGAATGGCACCTTCTTCATTCCATTTTTAATATGGATAGGTTTGGCAAGTTATAAACAAACATAACTGTAAAACAGCTCATGAAAGAGTACTACAGCTAGAGAGCAATGAAAGGATAAAGTTTCACATACCCATGAAAAAGTGCTTCCAAGATGCAGACAGGAACAACAACAAAAAGAAATCAAGCTGGGTTCAGAAAGTACTCATAGTACCCTTATCTCTGGTTACCTGAAGACACTTGGCAACCGGTGCTCTAGAGCAGAGGCGTTCCTTGCAAGACTTTGTAGCACTGTGCAGGTATGCAAGAATTTGAGACCTCTGTGATAGTTTCTCCCCTACACGGATGCAAGGATGTCTGCTGGTCTACTTACGATGAATCCATGAATTTCATAGGATTTTTTAAATGCAAGGACAACTTAAGTGGTTTTTGCTGGAACTTACTTTGCTCTCACAGACCCTCTCCCTCCCAGGCCCGTCCCACCCATTGCATGCCTAGTCACCCTCCCTTTTGGCCAGGCCCTCTCGGTTAGACCCACAATACAGCCCATGGCCAAAATGTTTGCCCATGCCTGCTCTAAGGTATAGTATTGGACTTTGTTCAGTATTTGGAATATGTATTGGGAGATATGCTTCTTCTTAAGCAAAGTGAGCTATCTATTTTAAAGTATTGTTCCAGGTGGTATTTGGACAACAGTGGCTCCTGTTTTTCAAATGTGAAGCTATTGAATGTTTCTCGAGGAAATTTTAGAGACCTTTTAGACTAGACTGAATAGTCTGCCCTCAGATGGTACCCAACACCTTTAAGTTTGTCTAGATCTTCATGAGTTTAAAACATTTGCTTAATGATGCTGGTGTTCTAATCTAAGATCAGGATGATTATGCCAGAATTTAATGAAGATACCCATCTAATTGTTCCTATGAGAGATGCCTTGCTAGGTGATGGCTTCAGGAGTACCCTTCTCATCTTTGATTAAAAAACCATTTTGGAATCCTGTTCAATCACCTTTGGGGATATTGCTTTTTATTCCTGTCAGGGTGAGGAATTATGGTCCACAAGATGTTGTTGGGTTTTAAGCACGTGCTATATTCCCGTGCCAGTATGGCCAAAAGTAAAAGATAATATGACTTGTAGTCTAGTGATATTTCAAGAGTTGTGCATTATGAACCTTACCATAAAGTAAACATGGTGTATAAAATGCTTGTCCAAAATTATATCTAAGGCCTTGTGTTATTATCTGTCACCAAAAGACATTGGGTATTAAAGAAGAGTGATCACCAGCTCATTTTGCAACTGATGCTTGTACAGGGTTGGCATAAGTCAGAAAAGACTTGAAGGCATGCAACAACAAAAGATCAATAACCAAACAGTTGGGTAAAGATAAGTGTTTAAATCTCTTGAAGTTTTAAAGATAAGAAAAGCAAACATTTTGAAATGCTGACTGACAAGTAGCTGTTGAAGGCTTTGGATTGGACCTAGGAGAAGAGATGATAACTTTATTTTCCTAAATAAATCTTCCATTCTACTGGTCATTTGTGGCTTTCAAATAAAATTGATGCTTAGGAAGAATTATGGCAGGAACAGCAAAGGTTAAAACATCTGGTAGCATACTCCTTGGAATTATATTGCAATGATAAAATGCATTACTATCACAGTACCCTTTTAAAGAGAAGAAGCTTTCGGAAGTAATGTTCTTTCTGAACTTAGTTGCAAACTGATTGTTGAGCTGAATCCTATTGGTAGTCTCAACAGGTGTAGATAAATTGAATTAATAGGATATTCATAAGCACTGACTCTAACATTTGGTTATATGGATCTGTTGTAGGTAGGACTACCATTGAACTTTGGGCTCTTGTCCATAATGCTCATTATGAATGACAGTTCTGATAATTTATACAATACTTCTTAGGACAGATCACTGCAAAAACAAGAATGGTAGCACTTGTAATTTGATGATGTCATCGGATGATGCATGTACTTCCCTTAACTTCTGGTTCAGGATATGACACCATAACACAGAAAAGGGGAATAATGGACTTTCCTAATTTCTGCCCTTTTGGTGAACTTTTATCATGGGTGTTTTATTTGGACATCTTTGTGTGAAACACAGGTATTTTGTGTGAGGGAGTTGGAGGTCTCATTAAGGGCATGATACATTGATGTGTTGAGTGAATTAAGACTGCTGTTATCTGAGTTGGGAAATGGTTGGCCATTGGTTCAAGTGATAGCTCACCTACACTTACTGAACAGTATTAAGCAAGCAGCTATCTTCTAGCTTCAGCCCTACTACATTTGAGCTCGAAACCTGCCTGTAATTAGGGGATAATAATGTTCATTGGTTTTTAATTGTGTGTGTTTTAAAAGCCCAGGTCAAATAGTTCAACTTCTCTGAATGGTCTCCCTTCTCCTACTCCTCATTTTCTGTTTTGGCTCCCTCCTTTCCTAGTTCATGCCAGGTAGAGTTTTCTGTGACCTCCAAATATGATGAACCATTGTGCACTTGGGAGGTTCATTCTGATGATCAATAGGGTGGCAGACATCACAGTTACCTCACTTTCACATCCACCATGGGGTAGTGCTACTCAAGCAGTGATCCGATGATGCTGGTGGAGAAGACATTAATTGTTTGTTGTGGATAGCTCAGATACCAAGAGTGAGGAGATGTTGACTCTGGAGACCAGCGGTTTTCAGCAGCTCCTTTAGCTGAACTTAGAATAAGAGCCTATGGACTGCAGAACAAGTACAAGCATATTTCTCTGAGCAGGCAGAGGAAGGGTTAAGTGGACCTGTGATCATAGAAGCCTCAACTTTGTAGGTCCTTTAGATTAGCAGAGAAATGAGCTAGGAGTAAGTAACATCTGAGAACCTAGCATATAAGGAGCTCAAGTGTGGCACTTTGTTGCTGGCAACATCTGTATTGGAGCTGTGACCTCAGACTGTTGGCCATCTTGTATTCAGGATCTTTGGACTCACTCTTGGACTCCGGCTATTTGGATTGATCTTGGACTCTATATCCTGTTGACTTTGGACCAGACTCTCAGTTTCCCTGGTATGTTTCTCTGCTGTTAATGCCTCTTGGATGGACTCTTTGGCTTGAACTCAGATCATTGGTTAACTCCCTGCTTGTTAACAGGATTGAAGCTCATTACACACTTAGCAGTAAATTTCCAGAACACTATGAGAATATGGTAATCATATCACAAATTTCATCCTGGCCCTGGCACATGATGGGAAAACAGGATCATTTTATATTCCATCATTTAGCTTGAGAAGCACTGCCAGAGATGACTCAGATACCATGTCCACTA